GTTAAGTAAATTCCCAACAGAAGGATGATCCGGACAGAAACTAAATAGTTCCTCAGTCAGAGAGTAAGAACTGGTTTGAATCCCATAGTCCCTGTGATGCATGAGATGCCGAACCAACAAGCCATATCATATTAGAGCAGCCAGTAATGAGCAAAGATCAACAGTATCAGTACTGTATGTTTCCATCACTAAAATCTAAGGACAACTCGAGTGAATTAGTCTCAGCAAGGACAAGAAATGAAAGAAAAAGCAGACAAGGAAAGAAGTAAAAATAAAAAGAAGACTTTTCGTGAATTGTCAAGTCAGAATGTCATGTTGAAGTTCCTTGTGGAAATGCATAATTTCCACATCTGAGGACGAATTACTTTTTCCATTTTAAGGTGGTTTCTTATAGGTAAACACAATTTCCATATCTGTACATCCATCTTTTTCCAGTTTTGAACGTGTGATTTGACAGATATGTAATACAAGAGTCACTTCAGATGCGCAGCATCCCTTTTAACAAAAACCAGATAATAGACGAGAAAGTTACATAAAGATGTCATTATTACTCAGCCAAAACAGAGAGTTTATCAGAATAATTATGAATGCCCTCTTCACTCTTCTTCATGGATTTCATAGCTTTCGTATTCTCAGATATGGGTTTGGATTGGAAAATGAATCTAACAACCCTCTGTGTGTGTCTCCTAGTCCTCCCCCATTGGGATATGACTATAAGCTTCAACCTTTTTTTATTGCTATACTAGATTAGTAAACATTGTTATGGGCTATTTCTTTCCTGGAATGTTGTCATTGGGTTGGTTGTAGTACTTTGTCTTCTCGACATAGTTAAATAATAGTTCCTATATGGTATTCTAGGAAAGAAAACGAAACCGCAATGTTGCAGCTTATTTCCCTCATTGTGAAATAGGTCTTAAGAGTCTCTTTGAGATAACTTCTGCTAGCTTTGCTCATGTCTTTTGTACTAGAATTTTATAAAGAAGTTATCATGAGTTAGCATCTTCTAAAAGTTCTAATTTGTTAAGTGCAATCAAGAAATTATCAAAACGGACTCGAAACCAACTTTTTATCCTTAAATGCCACTTTTCACTTTTCAAAACCCAATCGGAACAAACCCCAAACATACTTAAAACTGATCATTTACCAACTGCTATTATACATTTGATAATTACAATGCAAATTCAGGAGAGGAGACGTGAAATTTTGATGGAACTTGGAAATGCACACGGGTGTCATTTAGTCGAATCTATAGAACCGCTTTATTTAAAAATTTTAACTATTTGAGAGAAATATGTCCCAAAAGTGTTCTGAACTTGTATTTACCAAAGAGCCGATATTAGGATATGAGATATTTACTCGCTCCATTATGGTTTTAAACCATCTTGTCTAAAAACTTAATGCTCATTTCGTTTGTCGTTTTTTTCTGGTTAGAAGCTTTCACTGTGTCAATCCATGATGATAATAGCAGTGATACTCTGGCGCTTGTCCTTCCTCGGCCATGACAAGAAAAGGCTGAAATGATGGATGGATCCATCACTCTTTTTCCTCAGCCAAAGAAACTGCAAACTAAATGACCCTTCCTATATAAACACTTGCCCCCATACGTAAACCAAACCACAAGAACCTAACAAAACCACAACAGACTGAAACTCCAAACCAGAAAAGGCTCTACACCTTTTGTTAATGCAACTGATTGAGAATTCTTATCATTTAGACTCAGAATCTTTTGTTTCATTCTAAATTAAAGCATTTCCCACAGCAATCTGCAAACCAATTCCCTATGCCATGTTTACCTCTTCCTCCAATATTGCTAGCATGAGTGGTGTTACGACTACTCCATGGATGGACACCAGGTTATGGAGCAGGCTCCCACAAAAGTTGGTAGATCGAGTTATTGCGTTCCTTCCCCCACCGGCCTTCTTTCGAGCCCGGGCGGTTTGTAAAAGATGGTACGGTCTTGTATTTTCCACCAACTTTCTTGAACTGTACATGCAAGTATCGCCCCACCACCACTGGTTCCTGTTCTTTAAGCAAAAAAGCCCAAAAAACTACGTCTACACAAGCTACAGTGGGAACAACGGCTCTGGTAGACCAAACTATGAAGGGTGCCTTTTTGATCCTTACAACGTCAAGTGGTACCGCATCACCTTTCCTTTGATCCCGCCTGGGTTTTCCCCAGCTTCATCCTCAGGTGGATTAAGTTGTTGGGTGTCTGAGGAGGCCGGTTCGAAGAGTATCCTTTTATGCAATCCACTCTTGGGGTCACTAATTCAATTGCCGTCAACACTAAGGCCTAGGCTTTTCCCTTCAATTGGTTTAACCATCACCAACTCCTCCATAGATTTGGCTTTTGCAGGAGATGACTTGATATCTCCTTATGCAGTCAAGAATTTGACTTCGGAAAGCTTTCACATTGATGAAGGAGGATTCTATTCCATATGGGGCACGACTGCTTCTCTTCCTAGGCTTTGTAGCCTCGAATCAGGCCAAATGGTTCCTGTGAAAGGGCGATTTTACTGCATGAATTATAGCCCATTCAGTGTCTTAGCTTACGATATTGCCATGAATCACTGGTGCAAGATTCAGGCTCCCATGCACAGATTCCTTCGCTCCCCTAGCTTGGTTGAGAGCAGAGGAAAACTCATATTAATTGCAGTTGTTGAGAAAAGCAAGCTTAACATTCCTCGAAGCTTGAGATTCTGGGTGTTGCAAGAATGTAGAACAATGTGGGTCGAGATAGAGAGGATGCCACAGCAACTGTATATCCAATTTGCAGAAGTTGAAGGCGGCCGAGGATTCAACTGTGTTGCACACGGTGAATTCGTTGTCATACTCATCCGACAGTCGGAGAAAGCATTATTGTTTGATTTCAGCAGAAAGATGTGGATGTGGATACCTTCATGTCCTTGCGCAAATGGAAGTGGCATGACAGCAGAAAATGGTAGCGAGTTGCACGGTTTTGCCTATGAGCCTAGGCTTGCTACACCAATTGCAGCTCTTCTCGAACAACTTACTCTTCCCTTCCAGCCTTTCACTGCATAAGTGCTGTATAAGTACGTAGTTTTCACAAGCAAGGCAATATTAGGTTGAGTTTCCACGTGCATGTGGTGTTTCTAGTTCATAAATAGTACAAATATTTAGCCCTTCATCTACGAATATCTCAACATATTCATTACAAGATGTTTAATAGTTGCTGGAACAAGAAGATTAATTCTTGTTCAACTTGGCAACATATTATTAGACCGCAACTGGAACAAGTTCGAACTAACCCTCTTTCTTTCGCCTTTCGTCTGTTTTCCACCATGTACAAAGCGAAATAAACCGATTCTCATGTGTATACACAAAACTGCTCCTTCAGCTTCACTAAATGGGGAGGGGAAGTTTCACGACATCTATGATATTTTGAGTACTAGGCTACTTTGTGACACTGTAACCCAAAAATAAAAATATGCGCATCTAACACATTGCTTGCATATACTTGTGAAATGCTGAAACTCTTCAAAAGGGCATACAAACTCATCATCCATATGGAGAATACAATACAGTATAATTATAACTGAAAATAAAATGACAAAAAATTGCTAAGAAACACCTGTTACCGAGAGAACAATCATTGTCAGCCAAGATTATTGTGTTTGCAAGTTTTTCTCATGTATATGACGCATTCATCCAGGGATGTATAATATTTTGGCACAATAAATACAAAGTTTTGATATATCTAAGCCGATAGGCAACTAATCCAGCATAATTTTGGGGGAGCAGCAGTTTTCTTGAAAAATGAAGCAGATAGCTCATGAAAAAAAGGAAAAGTTCCTTAAACCATCTGAGTACCATGCTAAAATTGATGAACTATTGAATAAAGTAAGAAGAGCTTTAGTTCTATGGGCATAAACAATCTAGGAACCCTATAAACTAATTGACAAACTTTTCTATATATACGGCCAAGACCATTAGCACAATACTAAACACGATTCAGCTGCTGAAGGGATCATTTGACTCTGACCATGAGGATGAGATGGACATTCCTCTTGAATATGGATCTCAACTCCTCGTTCGCTTCCATGCCAATCCTCCTGCATAATTATCAGACATGCAATTCAATAAACATGTAAAACCTATACTAAATAAAACCAGATCGTCAGTGATGTAAATATTGCCAGGTATTTGATTTGGTTGACTGTCAAATACAGATGACAAGTGAAAATAAATACATTCCCGGGGCAAATCCCCAACAAGAGTTTTAAACCATCAAACCCAACAAGAGTTTTAAATATATTTTGTGATGCTTCGGAAACCTTTAGTAACATTAAAGTTTGCATGGAAGCACGACGGAAAGATTAACAGAAACTAAAATAGAAACAAAATGCAGGCAATTTCTAGATTTTTCCCTTTTCCTTTAGATTAAAAGGGCCGGGAAGTTGATCAGCAAATGATTGAACTCTTCACAGCTTTAAAGATGAAAAAATTTTAAATGCTTGAATGAGTGTCATAAAGGCATACTAACCCGATTTTGGATCCCTTCTTCCCGACAAGAATCTTGCGTTGGCTGATCTTGTGAGTAATGAAGTGTTGCTCAATCCTGAGAGAACCATCTCGTAGCTCCTTCCAGTCCATCAAACGATGTTCAACGCCATATGGGATTTCCTAAATTGAGGAAAGTTAATGAGTAAATTATGAACTCATCTAGCTAATGATCTTCAACGTTAAGTCTGATAAAAACAGCAACTTTACGATAATAACTGTGAAAACCAAGCTTTACCTGATGTACATAATCTAACAATTTTTCTCTCACAATTTCCAGTGATATGTTCTTCATAACTTCTTCACTCATTGCAAATGGATCCTCATCCCAAGGTCTTTTTATTGCCTACGCATAAATAACAAATGGAAGCCAGAATTAGAACAAACTCTTGGTCCTAGTTTACATTTGTACCGTTCACAGGGTTTTTATTTTTCTATTTAAATATAGGAAAATGTAGTACTGTAGTGTACTAGTGTCTAACAGATCATTATACATTAGTGAATATAGAAATGCAGCAAGGCATGTGGCCCCTCTAGTACAATACATAAAATCTTTACTTAACAGAGCACGGAAAGGAGAAAAATAACTACCAAAGGATGCACTATACGAACAGGAAATACAGCGAGAACATTTGAGTAAGAAACGGTTTCAGTAGTTCTCTTCTCAGGAAGTAGTATTAGAGGTTCCATGATCCAGAACATTGTGAGTGCAAGAGCATGTAATGATATTCTGGCTACTAACTCTTCCAATATCCATGCAATGGTAGCACAGACAAAATAGCATCGGAACATAATTTCATTTAATTGGAGAGTAAATATTCTGGTCTTTGATATAGAGTTACTTAGCAAGTATTTGAAAAAAAAAAATTGAATACAGCCTCGTGCAGTAAATGAGAAAAGATTGTGACAATGATTATAGTTTCTTTCAGCCATAAAAGAATTTGTAAAGAATCCAGAATTTCCTTCCAGAATCTGGACATATACAACATACACCTACAAAGGAAACTATGATAAATCATGTAGCAGGAAATTTCTTTATCGTTTCGGTAATGGTAGAGAATAGAAAAGGCGGAATAAGACTCAAACTTGATGTAGAATCAATTGAAACTCAAGCTAAGAATTGGTAAACCGTAGAAGGAGAAGAAGAAGAAGAAGAAGCCGACTGAGGAAAAAGAAACGTAGGGAAAAGGGAAAACGTGAGCAACGGCCAATCTTAATTTTTATCAAATCATTAATTGATTCAACTGCAATGAAAATCCAATAAATAGCAAATACCTAATTTGAAGGGTTTGGGTCAGCCCGCTACTACAAGCCCAATAATAGGAAACATAAATAATAAGTCCATAACAATAAAAATAAATCTCGATGATCTCGAACAATAAAAATAAATCTCGATGGTCTCGATGATGTCCGCATCAACTCTCTCGAATTGGAAGAAAACTCGACCATATTGAGTGGACAAGGCAGCAAAAGGTTGCAATCAATCGTCCAACCATAAACTAGGGTTTGAATGAGCTTCTTCTGACGTCCATAAAAGCGTGTCAATGGTGGTTTGAATCTGGTGTCTCCACCAATGTCCCCTGAATGTGTGGAAGGAGAACTGGGCAAAGGAAGATCTTGCTGACTCCGATAGAGCTCCAATAAGTCTGAATCAAGCTGTTGTAGTGTCTCTCTAGTAATCCATATGCAGTCAGATGCAGGTCAATCAACCAAACGAACAAGAAAGCGTTAAACATCCCTATCTTTATTCAACATAACCCGTTCATCTAAAACAGCATTAATTTTATCTTTGTGTGTTGGGAAAGGTGGCATTGAGTTAGAAGTGGCAAAAGATTCAGGATGGTCCATAGATGGAGGTAAGAGAGATCACCGAAGGGATTGAAATGACTTTTATAAACAACTAAATCATCAACATTGAAAATATAGTGGTAGCCAAGATGTGGCGAAAGATCAAAAATATATGCATTTGGGCCAACTTGCTTTAAAATTTTAAAAGAACCAACGCTACAAACTTGCAATTTGGAGGGGGATCCATGTATGCGCCGCTCCGGTCGAATTCGGATCATAATATAATCCTCAATATTAAAATCAACATGTCTTTTATGCAAATCAGCTCGAAATTTATATGATGCGTTACTATCTTCAAGTTGTTTATTGATCTCAATATGCAAATCATGAAGATGTTGTGCAAATGCTTCGGCTGACATAGATACTCTAGCATGTGGGGACATCGGAATGAAATCTAAAGGCTTNTTTCAACTTTGTACCAACCTTGTGCCACAGCATTTTCCAAAAGTGACTAGTGAACCGAACATCCCTATCTAACACAATGATTTTGGGGAAGCCATACAATTTAACAATTTCATTAAAGTACAATGTGACAATCTTGGACGCATATGAGGTTTTGCTACAAGGGACAAAATGAGCCATTTTCGAGAAACGATCCACTACCACAAAAATAGAATCATGTTTCTTCGAGGTACGTGGAACTCCTAACACAAAATACATACTCACATCTTGCTAAGGGCAATCAGGGAAGGGGAGAAGTGTGTATAGACCAGTGTTTTGCCTCTTCTATTTGGCCAATTGATAGGGAAGGGGAGAAGTGTGTATAGACCAGTGTTTTGCCCCTTTTATTTGGCCAACTGATAGGTATTACAGATACTATGTATCTTGGCCACATCTTTTTTCAAATTAGGCCAATAGAATTGACGTTNGGGAAGGGGTGTGTAGAGGCCAGTGTTTTACTTCTTTTGTTTGGCCAACTGACAGGTGTTACAAGTGCTAACTATCTTGGCCACATCTTTCTTCAAACTAGGCCAATAGAATCGACGTTCAATCTCCTCTATGGTCTTATCTCGCCCAAAATGACCGGCTGAGCCAGCTGTATGAATTTTTCATACTATGAAGTCACGCACTGAAGTTCAAGGGATGCACAATTTATTGGCTCGAAAATGGTAACCCTCCTTAAGCGAAAGTCATCCGCAGTATCCGATTTCTTCCTTGCAAATCAAGAAAGATATGCTTAAAATTGGGACATGTTCGTAATTTTCCTTAAGTCACTCGAAGCCTATGACCTTCACGTTCATAACCGACAAAAGAGAGATATGACGATTTAATGCATCAGTTGCTTGGTTCTCAACTCTCTTCTTATGCTTCAAAACAAAAGAATAGGCTTTTAAATATTCAACCCAGCGACCGTGTCTAGAATTCAACTTTTTCTGGGTGGTGAGATGACGAAGGGCCTCATGTTCCGAATAAAGAACAAACTCTTGGGGTAGCAAATAATGATGCCAACATCATAAAGTCTGTACAACTGCATACAATTCCTTATCGGAAGTCGAGTACCGTTGTTTGAAATCATTTAACTTCTCACTCAAATAAGCGACAGGGTGGCGTCCATGACTAAGGACTCCACCAATTCGTACCCCAGAGACATCACACTCAACCCCAAAAACTTTGGTGAAGTCAGGAGGGTACATGACACGAGCTTCCGTCATTCGCTTCTTAACTAGTTTAAAAGCCTCAGTCGCTTCATGTGTCCAATGAAATTCTCCTTTCTTCATGCCCCTGCAGAGGATACAATGAATCCTAGGAAAACTCTATCGATGAAGAGAGAACATTTCTTGACGTGAGCATACAATTTTGTTGCCCGAATGGCAGAACAAATCTGCTTGAGATGATCTCTGTGTTGTTCCTTCACTGTACTATAGATAAGAATGTCGTCAAAATAGACAACAAGAAACTAACCCTGAAAGGACGAAGAGTTTGTGTCATTCCTCGCATAAAAGTGATCGGAGCGTTAGTTAGGCCGAAAGGCNTGTCATTACTCGCATAAAAGTGCTCAAGGCATTGGTTAGGCCGAAAGGCATAACTAGCCACTCATAAAGATCATCTTTTGTTTTAAAAGCAATTTTTCACTCATCACCTGGGCAAATCCTAATCTGGTGACACCCACTCTTCAAATTGATCTTAGAAAATATTATAGCACCACCCATCATATCTAGCATACCGTGAAGCCTAAGGATGGGAAAGTGATACTTCACCGTGATCCTAGCCATCTTTCTTAGGCGTCAATGGCGTCGAAACTGCGCAAGGATTTAAACTCTCACGGATGATTCTTTTGTGAAGGAGTTCATCCACTTGCCTCTGGAGTTCAGAGTGCTCAGTAGGATTCATCCTATAATAGGGCAAATTCGGAAGCGATGCTCCCGAGACCAAATCTATGACATGTTGGATGTTCCGTAACGGAGGTAGTTGTTCAGGTAGGTCCTCGGCGAAGACATCCTGAAACTCTTGAGTGATTACCTAGGCTTCAGGAGGGGCTATTGTTGGGGAATTCAATGGAACTTCCATGACAACCAAGGCATACATGACAAAATCGCCCGCAAGTGTGCGTTTGAACTTCGTAGGGTTAATGATATGTAACCCTTTTCTTTCCTCGGTTCAGGCGGTTGATGGAACTTCGGACCAGCAATGTAGGTGCGGTTTGCCGGCTGCTGTAACTGTGATGTCCCGATGATTGGAGTCCAAACGGGAGCAGGTGCCGACGATTGACAGATAGTGGCTCTAGGTTTGATTTCTGGCGAGGTGTGGGAGCAACTTTGGTTATGGATTTAGTTTTGGTCTATGGGTGTTGCAGGAGGTATTTGCCGGCAACAATTTCCTACATTTGTTGGTGGGTTGATGAAGTTGCAGTGCATATGCATGTGTTTTTTTCCCCCTTTTTTTTGGTGGGTGTTGGTTGGTGCGGCAGCGAGCGGTTTGTGGTTGTGTGGTCTGGTGTGCCGTTCTTGGTTGCGGTTGCTGGGAATATTTGGTAGGTTTATGTGTGGTGGTGCTAGCTGGGTTGTGTGGGTAGCAGAAAAAACCGGTTGCAGACTGGCAAAGGTGCCGGGAAGTCGTTCAATTTTATTGTTGAATCCAGGTTTAACTCTAATACCAATTTGATGTAGAATCAATTGAAACTCAAGCTAAGAATAGGTAAACCGCAGAAGATAAAACCAGAAGAAGAAGAAAAAGAAAAAGTAAAGGAAGAAGCCGGCAGATAAGAAAAAGAAACGTAGGGAAAAGGGAAAACGTGGGCAACGGCCAATCTTAATTTTTATCAAATCATTAATTGATTCAAATACTATGAAAATACAATAAATAGAAAAAACCTAACTTGAAGGGCTTGGGCCAATCAGCTACTATAAGCCAAATAATAGGAAACATAAATAATAAGTCCAATAACAATAAAAATAAATGATGGTCTCGATGATGTCCGCATCAA